GCCTTGGCCAGTAGCGGGTCCGACTTGGAGCCGGGAGAGCTTCTAGCAGCTTCTCACAGGAGCCACCCCTTGCATCCCATCCCCTGCTACGAAAAAAATGTTCCACACAGACCGATAACAAATGGTTTGTTGCATTTTTATTTGGAGAGAATGTGTTAGAAGACAGGTTGGATGCAGTCTACATCTCCAGAATATTTTCTGCCCTGTGAGCATTAAACTATGGAAGTGCTTTTTTTAATAGAACGGAATGTTTAGAATATACTGCTACCATAAAAAGAAATGCTTCTCTGACCATAACACCAACATTATTCTCATACATGCCATTCCATTTAGAACAGATTGCATCTTGTTTTCTACACCTAGCAATCATTTCACTTAGATATTTAGCAAATACAAAAGTGGTGTTTTGTGTTCCTATTATCACCAATTTTTTCTCAGACTGGTAAATGGTTTCTGTTGCTGCAGACTTTTGTCTAAGAACATGTAAAATTTGTTTTTTCTTGTCTACAAAGATATAGTGGAGGTAATACTGCAAACGTGCATATTTTCTGGGAGTAACAGATATTTGGCATCATATTTTATTTCCAGCAGTAAACTTCTAACTAGTACCTAAATAGTATTGCTTTGATTAAACTGACTAAAAGGGTTGTTCTTGTTTAATATTTGAAATACAAGGACATTCCCCTTTTTCAGTGATTCTTCTATGAATTCTGCACAGTCTGGGAAGTATAACACCAGAAATTGGATGAGATCTCTCAGGTGTCTGCTTTTGACCAGTGGGATAAATTAACTAATCCTTCTGCTCATGAAACCATTTAGAAAGTGATGCCAAAACCAAATAAAAGTTAATCTTATTCACACGGAAGTTAGGCGCAGTTTTGTCCAATGTACTTTGCTACTGTGGGACTAAAATTAAACCCATATTCAAAATATAGAAGTATACATCATCAGTATTTTGGAGCATAGTGTTACAGCTCCATGCAAACAATACTTTAAAATGGATCCTGGGTTTGAGTTCTGTGTTTTGATATCTGTTGAACTACATGGTAGGAAACTATTTTAGAGTGCTTTTGGAGACAAAAGAATCCATGATCACCGTAATAATATTAATGATGTATCAGAGGTTTTATTATGCAATTCACTTTTTTCAGGAGAGTTAGTGACTGTTCTGCAAGACTAGTGTATTTGTTATTAGCTGTAACAGGGAGTGAAGTACTATAAAATCTGAAAAATGAAAAAAGCAAAGAACATTTTTATGGGGTGTTTTTCAGTGATTATACTTTACCAAGCTGAGTTCTCTGGATGGAAAAAGATATTTGAAAAATGCTGAGTTTGTGATAAAGCCTATGTTTACAATAGGAAATCCTTTTGGGAAAGGAGGGAATTTGTCCAGGCTAATTTAAAGGGTTCAAAGGGTTCATGCTACACAGGATAGTTTTGATATAATGGTTGCATGGTGTCTGGATTGACTGATAGCTCAGTTGTCTGATCATTAAGCTATTAATGTTTTCTTTGTTTAAGATATTACAAAGGGGAAAAATGTCTGTCAATACTAACATTCTAACTTCAGGACTGATGGAGGGCCATCAGCAGTATGGCCATCATTAATAACTTTACTGAAGAATAAATATTTTCATAGTTCTCATGATGTTACCAAATAATGACATACAGGTGCTTCATGGCTCAGAGTCATCCCTTTCTTGTTATAGTCACCTCTGTGATACTGTAGTTAATAGTAACAGCTGTAAACTGGCATCAAAGTAGTACATTTTCATCTCTTTTTATTTATGTTTGGAATCATACCAACCAAGTAAATGTCTGTGTTCGATCTTAATTTCTTATTGAAATTGTAATTTGGAAGAAAATAATGCCTCAGGGTGAAATGCATATTTTTAAGTGACTCTATGATTTAGTGTAATGAAATTAAGTTAGTGACTATAAATTTACTACTTTACAGTGTTGATTAGATAAAGTAGAAAAATACTCTTAAGGCAGTGATGAAAAAGAGATGGTGTCAGAAGAAAATCATGAAGTGCCTAGTAAGAGTTACAGGAGTTACTATCAGAAGTGTCTGTGCTTTCTGTAACAAGATGATCTGAATGTAAATCACCAGAAAAAGAAAAGATCAGTCACTTGGGAAAGAGTAGATAGTCTGCTAGGTTTTAGGCATGATACCAGAGGGGTTTTACTGTAGAGTTCTTGAGTAATGTAGAAAATACCCTGTTGTGGAAAGAATCCTTTACTGAGTGAAAGTTCTCAAAATTAAAGATAAGGTTATTTCTGTAATT